ATTCAAAATAACACCCACTATTTGCTATGTACGTATTTCAGTATTTTCAAAATCAATATTATTAAATGGACAAATATCAGAAGTAACAAATGGGTTATTGGAAAATGCTACATTGATGGTTGCTAAACCTAAGAAGCTTGTAAGCAAAGATCGTTTGATGAAATTTAAAGAAGGTGTGAATCTACAAAGGCTCGATAGAATTTCTTATGAACCTACTTTAAATTGGAATCAAGATACAGTTCTTAATAAAGTTTGTCATTTTAAATCTTTCATTATTTAAATATCATTATTTATTATTTTGAATTGCATTATTTAAATAACAAAATATCACTCACTTTTTTAATACATCGATATAGGATCAGCCTAATACTAATGTGGTCCCGGTTGACAAGTCAACCAGTGTCAAATCACCTGAAACTAAGATCAACAATCAATTTATCAACAATCAATTTGTCAACAATCAATTTATCAACAATCAATTTATCAATAATCAATTTATCAACAATCAATTTGTCAACAATAAAATCATCAATCATCAACCTAAGCATAATATCACAAAGGTAATCTGAAATGTTTATTTAGAGTATTTAGTATCGTATATATATATGATATCTGATGTCATGCTAACAATGTATATTATTAGCGTAAATATTCCTCGTTCACAATACACTACACAATCGATTCTCCGATTCATCGTACCACAATAAAAAACACATTTGAAATTCCCGAAAGGGCATCATTAGAGGAGTTGCTTTCTCACATAAATAAACAACAAACTGCCACCTCTTCTTTTGAAGCTACATCTAAGAAATTTTACTATGAAAATACTTTTAACCAGAAAATTATGATAGTTGATGAGGAAGATTGGAAACTTGCTAAATGGGAAAGAAAAAGGTCTGGTAATACTGAGTTTTTTATAAAGTTTTGTTGATTTTCTTTTTGATTACATTATGTTCTTTATTACATTATGGGTTTAAATTTCTTGGTGATAATATTTTAGAGCCATATAAAGAATGCGTTTGTCTATTTTTTAAAACAAACGTTTACTTAATTGTTAAAAAAAAACCCCCATTTTATTATATTGTTTGATGTAGTATACAACCCTTGTACCTGCTACTCTAACTAATAACTTCACTGTAGTTAAAGGGGTGCGCATTTTAACCGTTAAAATAAATCGATAGTTTTCGATGAACAATGCCAAATTCTTTTTGCAAATAAACATTATACAAATTTTCATTTTAGTTCAGCGAACCTTAATCACAGATTTTTTTAAAGAAAATCATTAACATTCTGTAAGGTAAATACGATGAATGAAAGATTGCAAAGGTGGCAAGGATTCATCACAGTTAGCGATTCTAGCGAGTGTTGATTCGTTCCGAACTGGCAATTATAACTGTATAAACTTTATATTTTGGAATCAGTTTCTAATATTTGTCCATTTAATAATATTGATTTTGAAAATACTGAAATACGTACATAGCAAATAGTGGGTGTTATTTTGAAT